CTAGCTGTCCAGTTGCCCATACGTGGGGACTCGCCTTCAGGGAGTCCTGGCGAGGTCTACTACCTGATAGCCAGTCAGACTAGCTGTCCAGTTGCCCATACGTGGGCACTCGCCTTCAGGGAGTCCTGGCGAGGTCTACTACCTGATAGCAAGTCAGGATAGCTGTCCAGTTGCCCATATTTGGGAACTCGCCTTCAGGGAGACCTGGTGAGGTCTACTACCTGATAGCCAGTCAGACTAGCTGTCCAGTTGCCCATATTTGGGAATTCGCCTTCAGGGAGTCCTGGCAAGGTCTACTACCTGATAGCCAGTCAGACTAGCTGTCCAGTTGCCCATACGTGGGAACTCGCCTTCAGGGAGTCCTGGCGAGGTCTACTACCTGATAGCCAGTCAGGCTAGCTGTCCAGTTGCCCATACGTGGGAACTCGCCTTCAGGGAGTCCTGGTCAGGTCTACTACCTGATAGCCAGTCAGACTAGCTGTCCAGTTGCCCATACGTGGGGACTCGCCTTCAGGGAGTCCTGGCGAGGTCTACTACCTGATAGCCAGTCAGACTAGCTGTCCAGTTGCCCATACGTGGGACTCGCCTTCAGGGAGTCCTGGCGAGGTCTACTACCTGATAGCCAGTCAGACTAGCTGTCCAGTTGCCCATACGTGGGCACTCGCCTTCAGGGAGTCCTGGCGAGGTCTACTACCTGATAGCAAGTCAGGATAGCTGTCCAGTTGCCCATATTTGGGAACTCGCCTTCAGGAGACCTGGTGAGGTCTACTACCTGATAGCCAGTCAGACTAGCTGTCCAGTTGCCCATATTTGGGAATTCGCCTTCAGGGAGTCCTGGCAAGGTCTACTACCTGATAGCCAGTCAGACTAGCTGTCCAGTTGACCATACGTGGGAACTCGCCTTCAGGGAGTCCTGGCGAGGTCTACTACCTGATAGCAAGTCAGACTAGCTGTCCAGTTGCCCATATTTGGGAACTCGCCTTCAGGGAGTCCTGGTGAGGTCTATTACCTGATAGCCAGTCAGACTAGCTGTCCAGTTGCCCATATTTGGGAACTCGCCTTCAGGGAGTCCTGGCGAGGTCTACTACCTGATAGCCAGTCAGACTAGCTGTCCAGTTGCCCATATTTGGGAACTCGCCTTCAGGGAGACCTGGCGAGGTCTACTACCTGATAGCCAGTCAGACTAGCTGTCCAGTTGACCATACGTGGGAACTCGCCTTCAGGGAGTCCTGGCGAGGTCTACTACCTGATAGCCAGTCAGACTAGCTGTCCAGTTGCCCATATTTGGGAACTCGCCTTCAGGGAGACCTGGTGAGGTCTACTACCTGATAGCCAGTCAGACTAGCTGTCAGTTGCCCATACATGGCAGACATCACAACCTGCAAGAATTCATTTCCGGGAGGTATATTTCGGTAACAGGATCCTGGGTGGGAGGGAGGGCTAACTTTCGCGTTCGCGAGGCACACTCGGTCTCTCCCTCTGTACAGTGCATGCGCAGCGCGCTATGTATGTTATGCGCACAGTATGTCTCGCTCTAGATTCCGGGAGATTTTAACTAATTTGCGGGCATCAGGGAGACGCTATCAATATGCGGGAGACTCACGGAACTTCCGGGAGACTTGGGATGTCTGACATGTGAACTCGCCTTCAGGGAGTCCTGGCGAGGTCTACTACCTGATAACCAGTCAGACTAGCTGTCCAGTTGCCCATATGTGGGAACTCGCCTTCAGGGAGGCCTGGCGAGGTCTACTACCTGATAGCAAGCTAGAAAATGGGTTGCCTAGTTGACTGTTAAGGCCTACTACCCGTCAGTGAGTCTAAAGCCTGGACTACTAAGACCAACCACCTGAGGCAAGCTGGCCTAAAGAGCCCTTTTGGGGGCTGCCCATCAATGAGGCCTGCTGAGGCCTACTACATGACAGCACAGCCTTCGTTGGCAGATATGTTGTTTACACAGTGCCTACAGCATCCTGGTGTACTCACAACAAAAACACAACACCCTGTAAGCAAGGGAAGTACAACACAATCCACCCTGCCTCAAAAGAGGCACCAGATTCAGGGGCCTACCATCTATACACATAGGCGTCAACTCATGGCAGTGCTCTGGATCAAAAACCAAAATGAAGTGAAGTTAGAAATGTCCGCTCTTCCCGAGCTATAGTGGTGTGAGGCTGCGTTCACACCAAATGCGAATAGAGCAACCCTTCACATCTAGCACAAAAAAGTACGTTTTTTTTAAAGTTCTTTCACTTTTGGGAGAGTCTTTTGTTTTTCCAACATATATATTATAGACTGTGGTCTGCTGGACGTAGTTGATGAGAGCATTGTCAGGGGATTGTTAAAAACAAAGTGCACTTTGAGGAGCTCATCTAAATCACCCATAGAACCAGCTGTTTGACAAGGGGAAAGGTTATTATCCAGTGCAGTGTTGGGCAATCTCATCTCATCTCCTCCTGGCCAGAAGTAATGATGCTGTGATTGATCGGGCGCTGACACTTGGTGTCACATTAAACTCAAACTAAGCAGGATCATTTTTTTAAACTACACATTAACTGTTAAAAGCCAATGATTTGTAGTCAAGACTGCTTTTTGGCCCTAGAGTGTATGTGTCGTGTTCAGTGGTCCATGTTTACTTTTTGTAAGAACTTTCCTTCGTCAGCAGGATCTTTACAATGGTTTCCACTTCCATGGCTTTTGGTGTACCTTGTCCCACATTTCAAACTTGCACTCTCTTACCCCCTTTGAGTCTGTAAATAGCTTTGGTAACACTTTATTTTACGACCCGCAAACAACTATGTAAGTACACTGAAATTACGATGTACGTTTCTGTAATTATAGTGTACTTCCATGTAGGTATAAGTGAACAATATGTTAAGTTTGGGGTAATAAAGGGGTAACAAGCACCACTTTAATTTACAGCCCGCAGGAGTTACACTTACCCAGTAACTACACAGAACAAGGGGGTAACAAACGCTACTTACTATGTAGCAATACGAAACAACACTATTTGCACTGTAATAATTACAGAGAAAGGTACTGTTATCAAAAAAAATGTTTTAATTACACAGTATATTTGCCATGACATTTAAGTGTCATTGCAATTCAATGGGCTAAGGTAAGTACTAATTACCATATGGTAAGGTCTAAATTAAAATCATAGCAAAAACAAAATTATTTTGATCAAGAAATGCCAATAAATTTAATTTGTATCATAGTATATATATAGATATATATATAGATATAGATATATATATGTGTGTGTGTGTGTGTGTGTGTGTTTAATGTTTAACCCACAAATGTCAAAATGACCCTGTAACATTGCACAAGAACATATTTAGCCAGAAATGTGATATGTTTTATAAACAACAGACGTACAATTTTTGCCTGGAATATATTAACAGAATACGTACCTGTTATTTTTTAACTAATTAAATAATTTGCTTGTATCTGCTTGTTACCCCTTTATTACCCCAAACTTAACATATTGTTCCCTTATACCTACACGGAAGTACATTATAACTACTGAAACGTACACCGTAATTTCAGTGTACTTACACAGTTGTTTGCGGGTCGTAAAATAAAGTGTTACCAAAGCTTTATACTAGAGCTTGTGACTAAACATTGTAACTAAAGGCAGTGGATCCTCAAACTGTCGGCAAAACCACAATAGCTCCTATATTTACAGTCTGATATTTGCCCTCTAATCATTGCCAATACAGCCTGTGCATAACACTTCATCTTTATACACAAGATTTTTACCAAATCTATCAAATGACTGGAAAAGCTGAGTGCTCACATAGATACAATAACCTTTTGTCAATAACCTTTGTAAGTCAATGGAAGCATAATGCTGACCTTACTGCCTCAAATGAGGCCATAAATAACTGACAGAACACAAATCTTCAGCATTCACCGGTGAAAAACTTCAAAGCTCAATTTGAGCTTGATTGTTAATAAAATGTTAATAATATAATGACAGGCGCCAGTGCCACAACAATACTAACTTTGTTCCTGTTAAAATATTTGTTTCTGGTTCGGAGCCTTGCAACCAAAGAAATGGAATAACATGCAGTACAGATTATTAGAAAAAAAAACAGTATTAGCAAGTTACAAAACAATAAATAAAATAGAATACAAACATAAAAAACAAGTGTCGCCAAATCAAAGAAAAGATCAAAACCAAATGATTCCTGTAACTGATGACCCACACCTTCTAAACTAACAACCCAAAAGAAAATGTATAATCAAAACTTCAAATCTTCATCATATTTGACGTTTTACATAAACTAAAACCAAAAATACAAAAAGTGAACTTTATATTTTTTTTATACTTTATAGTTTTTTATATCTTCATATTTCAAACTTTTCAGACATTTTTTCTAAAATAATTGAATGGATGCTATCTTTTGGCATGAAAACAAACTGAGGTTTCTACATTTTTTTCATGATTTCTCATGTTCATTGCTATTTTAAAATAAAGGTCTGAACACGCCTTATGAGTAGCCTATGAAAATATTCTTGTTACAAATTGATAAATTATGGCTCCTCTGTAATTTATTTTGAAAATCAATCACCAAATAACAAATGGAAAACATAAAAAGTTAAGGAGAACCGACAGGTAAGAACTGTAACACAAAGATGATGAGAGAAAATGAGAGAAAGTTGTCAAAACCTTGGCCAAATTTCTGAGAACATTCCCTGTTAACTTGGTTTATTTATAGTATTTAAGTTACCAGTTTATATTTGACAAACTTTTTTTAAAGTGCACTTTACAAAACCATCGTTTTCTTATTCATATTAAAAAAAGTAAAGAAAGAGACTTATTTCGTTTTCTCAACGGGTTTCCTCAAGGTCACTTGTTCTGCACAAGCTCTTTATGAAAATTCCAGTGCAGGGGATTTTAATCAGATTAAAATGTATTGTACTCTGCGTGTGTCATGGAGGGGGTGACTTTTCATTCACTTCAGCTCAGTGTTTGGAAGAATACTTTGTGTTCAGAAATCAGAAACTCCTTTGGCAACCATTAACCCCAAAATTAATCATTCAAAGTTTTAAATAGCATTTTTTTTGTGTGAGTATTTTTCATTTAAAGTAAAGAGTACAGTCGTGGTGAGTTGTGTCAATCTGCTGAGGAAAACTCTTGAGATCTAGAAATATCACAGGAGTCTTGGATCAATATGGGCTTTGCGGATCTTCTAGATGAAGTTGGCGGGTTTGGACGCTTTCAGCTGATTCATGTGATGCTTCTGTCCATCCCGGGTCTTCTGATGGCTTGCCAGAATTTACTAAATAACTTTACTGCTGGTGTACCGGAGCATCACTGTCGCATACCCAATATAACGGCTGCCCTGAATGAGAGCACCTCATCGGTCCTGCGCGCGTTTATCCCACTGGATTCATCACTGACACTGTCCAAATGCACTCGGTACACTGAAACTCAGTGGCATTTAATCACTGACAAACTGAGTCACAGAAATTTGACTGAACTGCTGACAGAGAGTTGTGCTGATGGCTGGACATATGACAAGACTGAATTCAGCTCATCTATAGTATCAGAAGTAAGTTGTTTCATTAGGTCTGACATAAAATATGTAGGCCTATTTCTCAACATTATTGGTCAAAATGTATGTAGTGGAGTACAAATGTTTTAGGATGAAAGACAGCAAAGAAAAGTTTTGAAAGTTGTAGTAGTAGTAAAATCTTTATTTGTCCCTTTACATGGCAATTTAAGTAGCAAAGTTCTAAATAGGCAAAATATTGCAAATTCTGCACTTCTAGTTTTATGCAAATTAGTGGCAATGAGAATTGTGTACAAACTGCAGACATGGAGCCTGGTCAGATTTAATTTTTTCATATATATTGCAGCACAAGATGCTCCTTTGGATGCTGTTTTCAAATCACGCTGGATAATATGGATCACTAGGTTTAGTCCATGCTATAGCCAACAAACGGCTGTAAGCAAAATAAAAACAAACCAAATACTGAGACATTCTTAAATGAACATGAATTCAACTTATTATATCTACATGTTAATAAAATTAGAAAATATTACTAGGGTTGTTGTGTAGGACTCAATAACCACACCGTGTAGCCCCGTTCATGCTGCGTTTACTGAACTGACGCAAACCTTGCATTTGTTCACCCTTGCTGTAAATCACTGCCGTAACCTGTCACTCACAGTGCATAACATAACAGAGTCCAACAGGAAACAACACTGCACGTTTTCAGACATAACATTTTCTCTCTGACCAGTATGACTGCAGCTTATTTTGGCGGTGGGGGTGTTTGACCCTGAACCAACCCCTGCAGAAAGTGAGTGGTTTTGCATTCTGTGCATGGTATCAAACCTCGCTTTCATCCAAGCCTGAGCTCTGGCTTTCTGGAGCCCTGAGCTTCCACGTGTAGTAGCTCTCAAACAGTCCAGTGGTTGCTTTAGTTCACGCCCAATCATGAGCAATGCAAGTGACACTCCAGTAGTGGAATGCCCGGATGGTCAGGAGAGTTTGGTCGAGTGCGTTGCTGAAGGTTTTCCCCCTTACTCCAGACAAGCACGGATTCCATTTTTAAGTGTTTTATTCAGTCTTTCCACCCCCCCACATTAGATGGACCGCATCGTTAGAAACTCAGTGAACTCTGCTGATGCAAATTGGGGCCTGTTATCCGTTATGACAACTATGGGGAGGCCCCAGCGCCCAAACAGGTTGTCCGGGCGGTCGATGATGGAGTGTGCAGTGATGGAGCTCAGCTGGAAAACCTCAGGCCATTTTGAATGAAGATTGTGCACAACCAGCAGGTAGCGAGCGTGAGCAAGTGCCCCGTGAAGTTCTCCACAGAGGTCAACCTGAATATGTTCCCAGGGTGAAGACGGCCAAGGGGTCGGGGTGAGAGGGGCTGTGGCAGGCTGACCAGTTTTCCCACTCAGGAGGCAGCAGGCGCAGTTACGTACCAGCTCCTTAACATCAGAGTCTATGTGGGGCCACCACACTGTGTCACGGCAGCACTGCTTCACCTTGACCACCCCCAGGTGCCCCTCATGTGCCATGTGTAGCACTCTGGACCTGAGAATCTTCGGAATGACCGCACGGTGGCCACGGGCCAGACACACTGCCCCCCAGCAGGAGTGCTCATTGCGGAAGCGGTAATAGGGGAGCAGCTGGTCATCCACTTTGTCCGGCCAGCCGTCCTGGACGAAAGTTACGGAGAGTTGTGAGGGCCTCGTCTGTAGCTGAGGCCTGCTGCAGCTCCGCCAGAGTGACTACTGAACTGAGGGGCCCGTGCAGGATGTGGACCCAGTCTTCGTCGCTCTCTGTGTCTGGTGTTACCTCGTCTCCTTCGTCACAGACACAGCTTTAGACAGGAGGTCATCTACCATGTTGGCCCGCCCAGGCATAAGCTCCAGACTGAAGTTATACTGGTTCTGCCTGTCAGCCCACCCCAGCAGTCTCATGGGCCTGTGCCCCAAGCCTTTAGTCATCAGCAGTGCCGTCAGTGCTTGGTGGTCTGTGCGGATGGTTAAAAGCCTCCCATATAGGTAAACATGCCAGCGTTCGTCAGGCCAGGGTTTCCCTCTCCCCCACCGAATACTTCTGCTCTGCTGGAGTACTTGCCCTTGAGGCGAAAACCACCGGGCGTTCCACCCCCTCTTGAATCTGTGAGGGGCGTAGAGTCAGAGTAGTGTGGCATGAGTCTGAGGTAGTAAGCGGCCATCCCCAGGAAGGAAGACAGCTGGGATGGTGAACGCAGGTCTGGCAGGGACAGAATGGCCTCAGTGTGGTACATTATTGGGGCGATACCCTCCATCAAGATCCTGAAGAGCAGGAACTCGACCTCCTCAACCCCGAACAAGTATTTCTCAGATTTCAGTGTGACCCCATGCTGCTCAAAACACTGAAATACTTGCTCCAGGTGATCGTCATGCAGTGCGGTGGAGGGCACATGCACCACCACGTCATCCAGGTAGATGGAGACCCCCTGGATACCAGCCAGTATGAGTGACCGTGGCTGTGACGTACTTATCATCCGATAAGGTGAGCGTGGTGAAAATTCACTGTCCCTCCTGCCCGAGACAATGGCACAGGAGCACACACTTCCTCGCCTCTGCTAGGTCCCAAAGTGTCCCAAAGCTAGCAAATGATCCTCAAACAATGTCACTCATCGATCCCAAGGAACAGCTGGATCGCCGGGAACAGGTAGGAAAGGTGGCGGTGGTGGTAAGACGAGTTCAGACATCCTCGTTCGCCAAATGTTGTGTTATAAGATTCAATAACCACACCGTGTGGCTCCGTTCATGCAGTGTTCACATAGCTTCACTTAACAGTGTCTGTTAGGGCTCTCTCTTAGTCAAAAAGTACGGAGCCCCTAAAGAGACATGGTGGTGGAAAAAAAAATAGGATGGGAGAATTTTTTTTGTTTAATCTTTTGCATTCCCTCGCAAGTTATTTGCGTTCCCAGCAATTGTGAAGGGAATATCTAGATCATCATTTAGTCAACAAAATTAGTTACACACTCGATGCTCCATAGGAATCAAGTGACGGAGTCAGGACCACCATTTTTGTCAAGCACGAAGAGTAATGCATGTGTAATGTTTTGCAGTAACTCTTTTCTCTCATTTGTCACAGTGGGATTTAGTTTGTACACTTCGTCCACTCAAACAGATGAGCCAGACCATTTACATGGGAGGAGTACTGGCAGGTGCCATTATATTCGGAGGGTTATCAGACAGGTAAAGCATCTATATCTTTCTGTGTACACGGTCAGATTTTCTTCAAATGTTCTTTTTTCAAACTCATTTGCCCAGTTAGATAGAAAAGAACTGATAAAAAAACTGATGCAAATCGATAGTTCTGATTAAACAGTTGATAGAAAACAGATCGGTATACAACAATTTCCCACTGTCACAGAAATTTTGATATAGAACTAAATTAAATATTTTTAACAATTAACTTATTGACTAGAAATTTATTTTAAAATGTACAGATCCCATGAGACAAGTCTGCAAGTCTTTATGGATTACAAAAAACTCCACAGAACCATTTTAAACTGATGAAGGAGATTTCAGATTCAACTCTTTATTGTGTGTTTATATTCTCGTGTAGGTTTGGGCGAAAGGCTATTCTGATTTGGTCATATTTTCAGCTCGCTGTCTTAGGCACATTCACAGCTCTCTCTCCGTCGTACGTGGTGTACTGCATCCTCAGGTTCCTGACAGGAATGTCTGTGTCCGGAGTCATTCTCAACGGCGTCTCGCTCAGTGAGTGTCTCTCTTCACTGTCATCCAGCATACATTATACAAAAATGGGTGACACTTTACAATACGGGTGCACTAATAAGCTAACTAATGCACAGATAATACTGAATTAATGTGTAACTAATGATTATTTAAGCTATTCATTAATGATTACCACATTAGGAACTAATTAAGAGTCTGTAAGGTTAATGTATTAGTTCATACATGTATGTAATTGTGGATTAATTCCATAATAACTCATTTTTTAACTAATAGTGTTAATTACCAGAATGAGCCAAAGCCTTGTATTTCAACTTCCAGATAATATGACAGGTACACTAATATGCATTAATAGATGATTAATTACTTCATTGTTAGTGCAAATTCATGTGCAAATTACTACAATTACTTAATGACTAGTTAATAATGATGTGCCCCATCAAGTAAAGTCATAACATAATGATACCTTTGCAAATCATTAGCTAATGATTAATTAAAGCAGACAACTGGAAGTTGAAGTGCATAGCTTTGACTAATTGTGATAATGAACACATTAATTTACACTATTAGTTAAGAAAATATGTTATTAAGGAATTAATACACAATGACACATTGAATTAATAGCAATTCATGTATTACTTAATCTATTAATCATATAGACTCTTTATTAGTTCCTGATGCAGTAATCATTAGTTCTTCATTAGTTATACATTAACTCATGATTATCTGTGCATTAGTTAAGGATGAATTAATGCACATTAGTGCACCTGCACCTGTTACCCAAAAATGATTTACAAAGACAGTTAAAATACAATAAAAAGAATCTCTCAATGAAATAAGGCAATTACTTAAATGTTTAAATGCATATGCTATTTTACAAAAAAAATATATAAAGGTAAATCAATGGAACTTGGTGCAGCGTCATGGTGTTGATGCTATGGGAAAGCCTCCAACATTAAATGTTGAATAGGCATCTGACTCAGAGGAGTTAGATGTTCAGTATGTGATATGTTCATTGTTTCCACACACTTCTTTTTATTTATTTCATATTCATTAATTGCTGTAATATTGGGTGTGTAGCTACGCTGCTGCATTGCAAAAGTTACAGTTCTGCAAGTGTATCATACTGATCTCCTGCAAGAGATATACTTCCTTTCTGGGGGTTTATGGATGTAAATGTTGTTTGGGTATTGAGAGATGTGTCCAATTCTAGATGAATATTGTGTCCCAATTTACGGATTGGTGTGTCACAATTGATCAAGACAAAAGGGTCCATATTTCTCTGCCTGAAAATTGGAAGTTCCCCGGGCTGCTTCACAACTAAAGCATGCTTATGTTGATTCTTCTGTCAATCTTGGCCGAGGGTACCCAACGGGTGAATAATATTTGATGTAACAGGTGGAAAAATACTTATGTTGTCATTTGTGATTTGGGTGTGGAAACAAAAGGCAATGGCCCACTGTGGGTCCAATAGTCAAGACTATTTCGTCTCAGTTCGGTAACCACTGATAAGCAGCTGCTTCCAAAAGGTCCCGCCTTTGATCATCTTCAGTCTCAAGTCCTCTAGTTTTCACCAGTCCGCACCGTACAATGATAATTCACAGCTTCACGAATTCACACTTACATGGAGGGGGGATGCTGCAAACTGCCAATGTTATCATCTTCTCTTCCCTCTTATCATTGATTCCTGAGTGCTGTCCACTCGAGTTAATTATCTGTACGTGCTCCTTAGTTACTCCTCCACCTTGGAGGTCTTCAGCTCCACTCTTGGGTTTTACTGTTCTGCCAGCTCCATCTTGGGAGTCTTTAACTTCCACCCAGCATCATGGATCTTCGTCTCTGGATAATACTCTTGCTCATTCTGTCCTGGCTTCTTCCTCCCCAGTTCTGGGAGGGGAGAGTACTGTCACAATCCTTAATCACTAGTCCAGTCACCAGAGAACTACATTTCCCAGCATCCCTCATGGTTCCCACCTGCACACAGTAAGCCACAGATGCACGTTCTCATTCTTTTTAAATTTTTACCATGTTGGGCTGCGTGTCTTTTTCCTCAAATGCATCAACTCAGAATGCCTAATGCTGATTGCTTGCTTTAATTTCTTGTGTTATATGAGAAAATACATAATTTTTGTCTACCTGATGTAGTAGATTTAATGCAGATGTGGTTCAGATACGGAATTAAATTAGTTTAATGGTGTTGGTATTCATTTTTCCCATAACGTCAACACCAGGACACAGCATTGAATTCCCTTATCTCAGGCTACATATGTAACTCGGTTTCCTGAGAATGGAACTAGATGCTGTGTCTACATGTCTACATCATCGGATCTCTTTTAACCAATAGAACTGCCGTTTCCACACATGCCTCAGACATCGGCCATGCTGGAGGTGTTCCCATAGCATCAACACTGTGATGTAGCATCTCCTTTCCTTCTCAGGGAAGGGTGTTAAATGCGTAACCTGAGATGTTTTCAGTCCTGGTCCTGTTGACCTACCGCTTTGCACACTTTACATATATCCCCTATTTAACACACCTGAATCAGATCATCAGCTGATTAGTTGGGAGCTCCATGGACTGAACTGAGTGTGTCAGATAGAAAACGGGTAGAGTGTGTGTCCCCAAGATCAGGATTGAAAACTGCTGGGTTAATAGACATTTAGGCTATGTTTACACGGAAACAATTCTGAGGAGAAAACGCAAAAGTGGCGTTGCGTCATCACTTTTTATTCTGCGTTTAGACGAGCGTTTTGTGTGGGAAATCCGCGTGCAAATGGTGACGCAAAAGTATGTGAAATTCAATGTAGTATGCACTTCAGGTGGCTAGGAGTGCATACTACAACAACACCAAGTCCACGCGCCTGCGTACAACCTTCACTGTCAAGCAGTATTTGCGTTTTTACCGTTTACACGGGAACGCGGCATTGGAGCGTTTTTAAGATTTCCACTCTGGAGGGTGGTTTCACTTTTTTGCGTTTTTAAGCCCCAAAAATGCCGTCGCCGTTGAAGGAATACAAATTTATTAAATGTTTCATAAAGGTTTAACAGTATTTTCAACTGTAAAATGTATACAGTGTTTACCATTTTGAGGCCAATAAGATTAAGCCAAGCATTCCAGGTGTCACACATTAGCTTTTGTCTTTATGCGCTTCCTGGCCATTAAGTTCAAGATTCAGCTTTGCTTTTGTAATGGTAAAAGTGTGACCACGCTGGTCAGACTGATTAGATTAGCGTCTCTGGTAATCTGCTGAATCATTTACATTTGCTTTGTTTCAAGAGACTCCTCCTCAGTGTAACTCCTCCAGATTAGCATCTCAAGGCACAGAAAACTGCTATGCTGATGAACTGAGGTGCCTGTTGAATCATATACATTTACTTTTGTTTCAGTTTCTCCCCCCTCGATGTAAACTCCTCCCCTCTAAATGTATAAATTGTAAGGGAATATTCTCCCTTAGTTAGACTATCTTAGACTATCTTAGACTATCTTTGAGATGACTACAGCTACGCAATAAAGAACTTCTGCGTGTAAGATACCTCAAGAGTCTCCTGGTCTGTTGCGTGGAAGAAGAAAAACTTCACTACAGATGGTGCCGTGACCCGGATAGAGAAATCTTACCTGAATCCAAAACTTCAAGCAACAAAAGATTTCAACAGAGAATCTCAACTGAATCTTGAAAACTTCAAGCAGAACAAGATCTCAAAGCGGACTGAGTTCCAGAACAAGAACAAAAACTTTTCTGACTGAGTTCCAGACTGAATCTTTTCATACAAGCAACGATTCGGTGAGTTTTCACTCTATTCAAAGAACCAGACCAGTACCAAAGTTGTGCCTCTGCGCCGTCAGAGAAAGAGTTATCAGGCAGCTGTAGTGTTTGATTAACTAAAGTTATCCTTTAAAAGTGGTCTTTTAAAGATGATAGATATCCTCTGTTGTCAGGCAGGGAAGATTGACATTAAATGTTAATATTTTGGGATCCTCTGAATAAGTCAGGGAAGTTGTAAGATATCCTCTGAATAAGTCAGGGAAGTTTTGTTCAACGGAATAGTGCCTCTACGTTGCTAGAGAAGGTATCCTCTAAACTTAGGGAAGATTAACATTACGTGTTAATATTGGTGATAACCTCTGTTCGCAGAGAAGGATTAGCATTTTTTTTTTGCTAGTTATTGTGGTCGTATCCTCTAAAAGTTAGGAAGGTGAAAGATCCTTTCCATTTTCTTTCAGGGAAGATTAGCGTAACATGCTAATAGTTTGTGTTGTTTGTTTGTTGTTGTTTTGTGGTGTTACCCTCTAAAAATGTACTTTAGAGATGAAAGTTTGAACCTCTGTACAAACAGGGAAGTATTAGCATAAAGTGCTAGTAATATTGTGGATTTCCTTTGCTCTGTCAAAGAAGGTTTACAACAGTCGATCTGTGTAAACAAGTGTAGCCTCTGTTGATCAGAGAAAGTTAGTTGTTTTGTGTGATAACAAAGAAACTCACAAAATGGTTGTGACGAATGCTAGGTTGGTTCCTACAACTGAGAAAAGTGGCCTTGCCACTCCATTGTGGTCAGATAGTGAATTTAAGTCATTATTAGGAGAGCACATGGACTCCATAGTGACTCCGTCAGTCAGATTGAATTTGACAAAGAAATTTGGCATTCACCCAGAAAAAGTATGGTCTATAGATGAGTGTAAAAAAGTGCTAGGAGCAAGTATTCGCAAGAACAATGTGAAAGCTATTATCTGTTGTTACAAAGAATACAGTTTATCCATTGCACAAGAGCAAGCTAGGTGTATTGCTAAGTTAAATGAACAGAACAAACAATTGCAGACTCAATTGTCCTGTTTCAAGACAAAGGTGGGCCATAACCAGGCCTCAGCCAAATGTAACACTGAAGACCAACAGTCAGATGAAACTTTTCCTGACTTACAAGCATTGTTTGAAAGAGATGTAGACATCCCATCAGTAACTGATAAGCATGTAAATTCAGTGAATGTGAGTGGGGCTAGAAAAAGATCGCAGGGAATTGAAGAGTCGGAAAATGTCCCTTCCAGTGCTTCTGTTGTTCAAATCCAAACTGTTGCTACAACGCTCGGACCTAGAGACATAGAGAGATTGTCCCAGAGTTTACCGCCAGCACGCACACAGTTCACTGAATTTAGAAGAGCATTGGTCAGCAAAATGCGTCTCTACGACATGTCGTTAACAGAAATCACACAGTTAATGTCTCAAATTCTAACTGAATCTGAATTCAACAGTTTTGAGTCTGCTGTTACTTCTGAACTGCAACATGCCAGAAAAGATGAATCAAGAGAAGGTGTTCTGAAAATCCTAAAGAATATCCTAGGACCCAAGATAGATTGGTCTAGAATTACAAACTGTGTACAAAAGAAAGAAGAAACTGTGAATGAATATACTGAGAGGTTTTGTCAGTCAGCTGTAACGTACAGTGGAATAGTGGATGATTCTGAAAGTGTACTCAATGACAAAGGACCGCTGGTCCGCATCTGGTCAGATGGCCTTATAGCTGACTACAGAAGTGCTTTGCCATTTTTGGATCTGACTTGGTCTCACAGAACTCTTAGAAGTAACCTGGAGAGGTTAACTGCTTGGGAAAGAGATTTTGATGTTAAGGCAAGAGTACAAATTGCAGCAGCTTCTTTTAAGGTCAGCACAGAAAACCCACAGAAACGTAAATGTCCTAAGAGAGAGGGCAGGTGTTATTACTGTGGTCAGCCGGGACATTGGAGCAGAGAGTGTAGAAAAAGCAGAAAGAATTTTAAAGAAGGCAACCTTTTTGCCCAACTTCTCAGTTTGCTTGCTACTCTGAAGCCGCCATTCCCCACGTCTTTAAACGGGTGGGGCAGCTTGTTGAAGTGTTAACCATTTGGACTGTGAGTGCTTAATTTCCCCAGTAACTTACAACAGAGATAAAAAAAACTTATGTTTGTTTAACGGAACAAAAAGGAAAGTGACTGTCTCAGCTTTTCCTTTGGGTAACTGCTTTAAGTAAACTCACAGCCTTAAATGTTATTCTACAGCACAGGCCTTTCATCAATAATAGTGTTAGGTCAGACTGTAAATGTACATGTCAATTTTGTCACCTTTTCCCATTGGGGAAATTGGTTTAACTACCCTCACCCATTCTCACGTATGACGTCTACAACGACTGATGTTTTGTTAGAGGATGAAGAAAAAAAATAACTCATGATTGGGTTACGCAGATCAAAGTACACATGTCACAGGACAGGTCAAGCTATTAGAGCCTAAGTGGCATGTGCCCCATCAAGGGATGTTGATTGGCAGTATTGTGTCAAGGAAGAAAAAGCTTGGTATTATGTGTCACATTGAAAAGGGTTCTGTCACATTGCAAAGTGTTCTGCAAAGTTCTGCCCAATGACAGGGACATAAAAAGGACACGAACCAGTGAGGAACCCAAGGGAAGAACCGAAATGCCATATGCGTCGGGGGTCACCCCTTGGGCGAAGATTCCCTCATAGGCCTTCCCCATCCATTTAGTCTCATCCTCACCTCACTGTTTTCTTTAGGTGTCAAGAATTAAGAAATAGGGAAAGAGGGAACAATAGAAGACTCAGTGTTTACTCAGCAGGATACAACCCTTGTCTTTGAAGAAATACTGCTCTCTTGTTTTCTTTATCCTCTGTGCAGATACCACTTGATGGCTATCCCGAGACCCATACGCACAGACGTCTTCACCTGCGTATGAAGACACCACTTCCAGAAAAACAATGAGACCCACTGCCGAGCCAACTATCACCAAAGTGAAGAAGAAAAAAATACACAACGCAGAGAAAAGACTTACGGAACCTTCAGTCATTCATCAACATTATCAAGATGTAGTAACCACCAGGACATCGCACAAAGTGAAGACTCCACAATCCTCGTTTTTGCTGGAAACCTTGCAGGCCACAGCCGAAGATGGCTGCATTGACTCACTTGTGCACAAACATGATGGTTAAACAGTCTTGATCTTTCAGCAAAAATTACACCAGATGTAACTGAAGTTTAATTTTTCCGTAAGAGCTTCACGGACCCTAATTGCATGTTTGTTTTCTGTGTCAGCATGTAATTACAGAAAAAGCAAACACAGAACATAAGTATGTGCCTGTAACTAGCACAAGTTACATGAATGAACTTTCTTAAGTGTTTAAATTTGTACATAATGTGAGAGTTATTAATACTCTCAAAAGGGGGGACTGAAGGAATACAAATTTATTAAATGTTTCATAAAGGTTTAACAGTATTTTCAACTGTAAAATGTATACAGTGTTTACCATTTTGAGGCCAATAAGATTAAGCCAAGCATTCCAGGTGTCACACATTAGCTTTTGTCTTTATGCGCTTCCTGGCCATTAAGTTCAAGATTCAGCTTTGCTTTTGTAATGGTAAAAGTGTGACCACGCTGGTCAGACTGATTAGATTAGCGTCTCTGGTAATCTGCTGAATCATTTACATTTGCTTTGTTTCAAGAGACTCCTCCTCAGTGTAACTCCTCCAGATTAGCATCTCAAGGCACAGAAAACTGCTATGCTGATGAACTGAGGTGCCTGTTGAATCATATACATTTACTTTTGTTTCAGTTTCTCCCCCCTCGATGTAAACTCCTCCCCTCTAAATGTATAAATTGTAAGGGAATATTCTCCCTTAGTTAGACTATCTTAGACTATCTTAGACTATCTTTGAGATGACTACAGCTACGCAATAAAGAACTTCTGCGTGTAAGATACCTCAAGAGTCTCCTGGTCTGTTGCGTGGAAGAAGAAAAACTTCACTACACCGTGTAAACGAAAGGCACATCCGATAAAATATTTTTACGCTTTCACCCGCGAGCGTTCCTTAATATCAACATTGAGCTGACTGCACTGCCACTATTGGATGAAAATAAAACTGAATTGAGCAGTGAAGCTACTTTTAAAAATTACATATTGTATAAAGCTGTATATAAATAAATGTGACTTGACTCAAAATGTTTGTATATATTGCAAAAGTAAGCAATAAGGTACGAGAGGCTGTGCTGTACTATCATGAATAAGTAACGGCTGAAGGGCGTTGTTAGGCACGTCCGTTACTTATTCACGATACAGTACTCGCCTTGAGTACCTTATTGCTTTTATAAAAAGGTTACCCCACAATAAAACTGTTAAAGTAAAAAAAAAAATAGCAGTGTTGCACAATGATACACAGAACCGTTGGGTGAAGCGGTCATGGCCGTGTTTTATCATGAATAAAGCACAGCTATTGACCAATCAGATTCAAGGATAAGTAAATAAGTAAATGTTACTCGACTTGACTTTAAATTTTTGTGTTCTCAGAGGTGGAGTGGATTCCCACTAAGACTCGAACTCTGGTGGGCACCTTATCATCTTTCTTCTTCACATTTGGTCAGATGCTTCTAGCTGGAATTGCATACAGTTTGAAAGACTGGCGTAAAATACAAGTGGCTGTCTGTCTCCCTTTCTTCATCTTCTTTTTGTACAGCTGGTGAGAGATTATTCAAATAACTTTTTGGTTCTGAATAACTTTGTGACTAACTGGAATTATTAGAACAACCTATGCTCACTGAAAAAAAATGTCGGCATTTTCTGACATTTCTGCAAAATGATATTACTTTTTTTTTTGCATGTTTTATGTTAAAAATCAATAAACAAATTTCAACAAATTTACTGTCGCAGGCACACACCAATTCTGAAAATGTAGGGTTTAAATCTGTGTTTCTTACTCGTAATTTATGACATTGTGGTGCCATTCATGTGCATTCAACTCATTAGATCTTTTCAACATCATTTGACACCATGAATCAGCAGAACCAGGACTGAAATCCGTAAGAAACACTGTTGCTGAATTACTACAAATAAATTGAATTAAATGTCAAAACAAGAGGTACACTGGCAACTGGCAGCAGTAGTTCCAGTAGTGAAGTTTATACATTTTAAATGATCTTGAGATTGTGCACAGCTGAATGGTTTCCGATCTCCACGTTGTAAACGGCATTAATGCCATTGCAGACTGATCTCATGAAGTAGCGTGTGTATGCCACGCCAATTCGTATTTCCATTTTTGGCATGCTATCAAGACGCATAATCGCCTTTCAGTGTGTTTATGAACGCCGTTGACTTAACGTTATATAAATATATGACTTACCTCAACCCCGTCCCTAAACCTAACCGTCACTGGGGTTAATGGCATTTATGACTGTTCCCTTACCATCCTAGGTAAAAAAAAGATATGACTTACCTCAACCCCGTCCCTAAACCGAACCGTCACTGGGGTTAATGGCATTTATGACTGGAGATTTGACTACGTGTACAGACACGCGGAATGACGCGGACGTTAATGGCGTAGACATACACGCGGATAGCTCAAAATGCGTAGAGATAACACGCCACCTGACTCGAAAGTGGCGTGTATGTTTACGCAAAAGTCATGATGTCATGTTGGCCATTGACATTAGATCACCAGTCAACGTCCAAATCCAAATACCTGCAGTACTCCGACTCTCGGCCACAAGGAAAAGTGCGTACGTCTGTCCGGCCCTGTCATAGTGCTAATGTTATGCCGGTAAAGAGGACCCAACAGCGAGGTAACAGAAACAGAGTCTTTAATGAAACGTGAACCCAGGATAGACACAGTGAGGCAGACTGATCTTCTTATTAATTAACAATGAGGAAATAAACTGCCCGCAGAGCGGGCGCCGCAACGAAACTCAAGTCACTGATGAACTTCAAAAAGTCTTTAGGCAGTCGAGAGGAATCTCTGGGTTACGGCAACAGACTGCAGGTCTCACCAGGAAGACGTGGAGAGAGTGGGTACCAGTTCAGATGTAGCCTCAGGAGAACTGGACAGGGTAGATATCAGAGGATTAACAGGTAGCACTAACCAGACGGACACCAACAGGACAGGACAGGACGACGGTGAAACAATCGAGACAGAGGTTAGCTTCCAACATTAGATGCTCAAAAGAGAATCTGACAAAGAACGTAGCAGTAGCAGGGAGAGAAATAGAGCGCTAATCAGGGGAGAAAGGGAACAGGTGGAAAGAGGGAGAACGAGGTAGTCAGAGGAGATGAGGAACAGCTGGAAGAGCGAAGAAAGAGAAAGTAACCTAATATGACCAGCAGAGGGAGACAGAGTAAAGAGAGAGAACCAGACACAACACGACAGGACATGACAGTACCCCCCCTCAACGAGCGCCTCTTGGCGCTTCTGAGGAGGAGACCCGGCGGCTACGGAGGAAATCATCGATCAGTGAACGGTCCAGCAAGTCCCGGGAGGGAACCCAACTCCTCTCCTCCGGTCCGTACCCCTCCCAATCTACCAGAAACTGATGCCCACGACCCCGCGGACGCATGTCCAGAATCTTGCGGACCCTGTAGATGGGAGCGCCTTCGACCCGAATGGGGGGGAGGGGGAACGAATGGGGGCGCGGATGACGGGTTTAACACAAGAGACATGGAAGACCGGGTGGACCCGACGAAGGTAACGAGGGAGAACAAGTCGTACCGCGACAGGACTAACGATCTGAGCAATACGGAACGGACCAATGAACCGCGGAGTCAGTTTACGAGAAGTTGTCTTAAGGGGAAGGTTAAGAGTGGACAGCCAGACCCTTTGACCGCGACAATATCTGGGGCTCTTGGTTCTACGTCTATTAGCGGCTCTCACAGTCTGAGCCCTATAACGGCAAAGAGCAGACCTAACTCTCCTCCAAGTGCGCTCACAACGCTGGACAAAAGCCTGAGCAGAGGGAACATTGGAATCGGCGAGCTGAGACGAGAACAGAGGAGGTTGGTACCCGAGGCTACTCTGAAAAGGAGATAAACCGGTAGCTGACGAGGGAAGCGAATTGTGAGCGTATTCTGCCCAGGGGAGCTGCTCTGACCAAGACGCAGGGTTACGAAAAGAAAGGCTTCGCAGGATGCGACCAACAGTCTGATTGGCCCGTTCGGCTTGACCGTTAGATTGGGGGTGGAAGCCGGACGAGAGACTGACGGAAGCCCCAATCAAACGACAAAACTCCCTCCAGAATTGAGACGTGAACTGCGGACCCCTGTCCGAGACGATGTCTGTAGGGAGACCGTGGATCCTAAACACATTCTCGACGATTATTTGTGCCGTCTCCTTAGCGGAAGGAAGCTTAGCGAGAGGAATAAAATGAGCCGCCTTAGAGAAGCGATCGATAACTGTCAGAATAACGGTTTTACCCGCCGATGCTGGCAGACCAGTGACAAAATCTAAGGCGATGTGCGACCACGGTCGAGAAGGAATAGGAAGCGGTCTGAGAAGACCGGCAGGCGGGGAATTCCCGGACTTAGTCTGTGCGCAAACAGAACAAGCAGCCACGAAACGGCGTGTGTCACGTTCCCGAGTGGGCCACCAAAAGCGCTGACGGATGGAAGCCAGCGTACCCCGAACGCCGGGGTGACCCGCTAATTTGGCAGAGTGAGCCCACTGAAGAACGGCCAGACGAGTGGGAACGGGAACGAAAAGAAGACCCCTCGGACAGGCGCGCGGAGCGGGAGTGTGAGAGAGTGCTCGCTTTACCTGCCTCTCAATTCCCCAGACAGTCGCCCCGACGACACGCCCCTTAGGAAGAATCCCTTCAGGGTCAATGGGAACCTCTGGTGAATCAAAGAGACGAGACAAAGCGTCCGGCTTAGTATTCTTCGAACCCGGACGATAGGAAATTACAAACTCGAAACGAGCGAAAAACAAAGCCCAACGAGCCTGGCGTGCATTAAGTCGTTTAGCCGAACGAATGTACTCAAGATTCCTATGGTCAGTCCAAACGACAAAAGGAATGGTCGCCCCCTCCAGCCACTGTCGCCACTCGCCTAGGGCTAAGCGAATGGCGAGTAGCTCGCGGTTACCTACATCATAGTTACGCTCCGACGGCGACAAACGATGAGAAAAAAAGGCGCACGGATGGACCTTGTTGTCAGCGAGTGAGCGCTGGGAAAGAATGGCACCCACGCCCACCTCAGACGCGTCCACCTCGACTATGAACTGTTTAGAGATGTCAGGTGTAATAAGAATCGGAGCGGACGTAAAACGATTCTTGAGAAGATCAAAAGCCCCCTGGGCGGAATCGGACCACCTAAAACACGTCTTGACCGAAGTAAGGGCTGTGAGGGGAGCAGCCACTTGACTGAAACTACGGATAAACCGGCGATAGAAATTTGCGAAGCCGAGAAAGCGCTGTAGTTCGACGCGTGACTTAGGAACAGGCCAATCGACAACAGCTTGGACCTTGGCGGGATCCATCTCAATGCCCTCAGCGGAGATAACGGACCCGAGAAAGGTGACGGAGGGAGCATGAAAAGTACACTTCTCAGCCTTCACGTAAAGGCAATTCTCTAAGAGGCGCTGAAGAACGCGGCGAACGTGCTGAACATGAATCTGAAGTGACGGCGAAAAAATCAGGATATCGTCAAGATAAACGAAGACAAAGACATTCAGCATGTCCCTCAGGACATCATTAATCAATGCCTGAAAGACAGCTGGAGCGTTTACGAGACCGAAAGGAAGGACCCGGTATTCGAAGTGCCCTAACGGAGTGTTAAACGCCGTCTTCCACTCGTCCCCCTCCCTAATACGCACGAGATGGTAAGCGTTGCGAAGGTCTAACTTAGTAAAAACCCTGGCTCCCTGCAGGATCTCGAAGGCTGAGGACATCAAAGGGAGTGGATAACGATTCTTAATAGTAATGTCATTCAGCCCTCGATAATCAATGCAGGGGCGTAGGGACCCGTCCTTCTTTTGGACAAAAAAAAACCCAGCTCCAGCGGGAGAGGAAGAGGGAACAATAGTACCGGCATCGAGCGCTACAGATAAATAATCCTCGAGAGCCTTGCGCTCAGGTACCGAGAGCGAGTAGAGCCTTCCCCGGGGAGGGGTGGTCCCCGGACGAAGATCAATACAACAATCATACGAACGGTGAGGAGGGAGAGAAGTAGCCCGGGACCGACTGAACACAGCGTGCAGATCGTGATACTCCTCCGGCACCCCCGTCAAATCACCAGGCTCCTCCTGAGAAGAAGAGACAGAGGAAACAGGGGGAATAGCAGACATTAAACACTTCACATGACAAGAAACATTCCAAGAAAGGATAGTATTCGTGGACCAATTAATAGATGGGTTATGACGAACTAGCCAGGGATGGCCCAATACAATGGGAGAAAAAGGTGACTGAAAAATTAAAAAAGAAATGGTCTCGCTATGATTACCAGAGACAGTGAGGGTTAAAGGTAGCGTCTCACGCTGAATCCCGGGGAGAGAACTACCGTCCAAAGCGAACAAGGCCGTGGAATCCTCTAATTCCTTAAGCGGAATGTCATGCGCCCGAGCCCAGCTCTCGTCCATAAAACAGCCCTCCGCCCCAGAGTCTAATAAGGCACTGCAGGTGGCCGATGAACCGGACCAGCGGAGATGAACCGAAAAGGTAGTGCATGACCTTGAAGGAGAGACCAGAGTAGTTGCGCTCA